GCTGGCGACCAGCAGGACTTTCTTAAAACTGACTTTGTGGTGAAATAGAAAGGGCTCTTTGTTTGCATTGGGAATCCAGCATTGGAAATGTGCGTTTCTGAACGGCTCTGTGCAAAGTTTGTTGCCAAGGCTGCTACTGAAGCAGTTTCCAAAAGAAAAATATGGATATTGTCCCACTGACTATTGCCCAGGGCTGTGGGTGCAGCTGGGCCGGAGCCGCGCTCGGCTCCCACTCCTTTAACTTCAGGTTCAGGGACCACGGAGTAAAACGAGTCAAGGCAGCGCTGAGGGTGATGCTGCTCTGCTCGTGCCGCAGGAGAAACGGCAGCGACGCCACCGCGGAGCTGACGGAGGGGCAGGATTAGCTTTTGGGAAAGCATTGGCAGCTCGGCGGGCCGGGCTGCGGTGCCAGACAGGAAGCCGGCTGACGTGGCCGTGCCGTCTCGTCGGGATCGTGGATGGCTGCGCACGCTCGGCCCTGCCCTGCCCCACGCTGTGCCCTGCACTGCCCGAGGTAAGCACGGGGACAAACCTTCGCTTCCCGTAGCCCAGAATAGAGCAGCCAAAAACCTCGTCCCATGAAGGCAACCTGTCTTGGTGGTTGCCAGACCGGCTCCAGCAATGCAGAAAGTCAGTGTTGTTAGCACCAGTCCAGCCCTGCCTGCTGTAACTGGTCTGAGCCTCGCTCTCCGTATTAAAATCTCCCCTTTGATCACAGAAACCCAGGATCATCCCATCCTGAGAAACCAAGCTAGCACAGCATGGCCGTGGGAAGGTATTTGTGAAAGGAGGGGGGCGAGTTATGGAAAAAATGTGCGTGTGCGTCCGCCTTTGCTTTTTTTGTTTAAGTTGTCTGTTCTGAAGCCACTTTGCTGCTCGGGTGTGCTCTGTAAAATTGTTTTTCACTCCAAGCGCTCGATGCAGCTGATAAATTGCGGCTGCTTTATCAGACTGGCACGGGTGGTTTTGTGTCCCGTGTGGGAAGCTCTGGTGAGTAGGGACACCGAAAACAGCTCAGGGGGAAGGCGGGGTTCGTGTCTCCCTTCCGGGGAGCCACGGGGACGGGGTGACTGTCACAGCTGTGTCACCGAAGGGCTGCAATTACAAGCGGCCGCAGCAGGAGCTTTGGCTGGGCGCGCTGAGCAGCAGTACCGTACTGGTGTCGTCTCGCAGGACAGCGGCGTGGCTTCCCTACAAGGAAACCAGGGAAATCAATGATTTTGAGAAGCGCGTCGCTCACTGGGCTTTGCTGAAGGGCTCTGGGAGCGAGGCGGCAGGATGTGAGCCACCCGCTGGGGTCACCGGGAGGGAAGTGGCTGCATGTCTGCGCCCTCCCCAGCCCACGGCAGCCTCCGATTGCAGCCACGCATGAAACGGGGCTTTTTATTTCCCCCCCTCCACCCCTTTTGAAAAAGGAAGCTCTTGTAGAGGTTGCAGAGACGGCCAAGCACGGCACAAGTTACCTGCCGAGGCCAGAAATGCAGGTAGGAGCTTGCTGACGTGCTGGCTTGCTGTTTTGTTGGGTTATTTTCCCTCTTCCTGGCTGTTGTTAAAGCCCTGCATGGCGTCAGCAGCGTGGGGAGCGCTGGGTGCTGCTCGGGGCAGTTGTGGGACTCCTGGAGAGGCTTTTGGGCCATTCTGCCTCTGCGGGGAGGGCAGGATCCATCGGGAATGCCCAGAAAGCCTGGGCACGGCTGTGGCAGGCACAAGGGGAGGCCATTTCCAGGTGTTGCAGAGGAGGAGGTGACTCTTTCCTTTCTTCACACCCACTCTGTAAACGTAACCACGAGATGGGGAAGCGACCACCTGGGCTTGCTGTACCCAAAGCCTGGTTTTAAAGTAAGGTAGGGGAAAGGGAGTGGCCGGGCGATACACACAACCCTGCCCTGAACTGCAGAAATCAGAGCTGAGAGAGCAGGGAGCGAGGGGAGAAATTGAGTTTTTGGAAAGGGAAGAGAGGGCCAGGCCTCGACACTCCTCACCGGGCAGGGAAGTGACCTCCTAAAGCAGCGTAATGCCGAGCTGCTCCTCTCGCGTCCTTGGGAATGGCGGGGAAGCGAGGGGTTACTTGTGCTCCAGACACCCTGGCACGGCGCAGGGCTCTGCAGCCGCCTGTGATCTCGGAGGGGAGGCCAAGGTCCTCGGCACCGCTGACGTGTGCCGGAATCTGCGCTGGCTGGAAAGGAGGAGGAAACAAAACGTACCGCGGGTTTGTTTGGGGAGAGATTTTGGTTTTTTTCTCATCCTTGAAGCTTGCAGATACCATCCAGGTGCTTTGTATGTCCCATATCCCTAATTGTTCCCGACCTTTCCTTTATCTTCTGTGCGAAGGCAGTGCAACTCCTGCCTGGGGAGGTAGGTGTTGTACGTGTGATATCATCTCCCAACAATGTCAGGGATGCTTTTGGTCTCTGTGCCTTTTTTTTTTTTCCTACAGCTAAGTGTTTCTTTTAGCTCGGTTGCAGTCAAAGGCCGTAATTAAATAGGCTGCATCTTCTTGAAGTCTCAGCTACTCATTTTGCTAATGCCTTCAGACAGAAGCTGAGTCGTCTGAGAGGTGATGGCTGCTGTGTCGAGCTCCCCAGGTCTCACGAGCGATGTCTCTGTAGGAAGAGGAAGTTGTTTGTGGGACAGGCACTGCCTCCGTACCAAATGAGCCATATTAAAAGCCTCTTCATGGTGCTCGGATGACAATTTCTTCAGGAAAATGGTCAGTGGTTGTTTCTTGATGTGCGTGGCTGAGCCCAGGGGATGTTTGGGGTTTTTTCCCTGCAGTTTTGCCATTCTGCTTCACCCCATCCTCTTCTCTGTCCTGGGCACTGCAGCCACAGCATCACCCCAGCTCCAGAAACACATCCTCATCCCACAGCAGGGACAGTGCCAATGTACTCACAGCGATCGGCCAAATCCTACAAAAAATGAGTAGGAACAGAGCTGTACCACGCCAAGGACGCTGCCCATCCTCCAGTGAGCTGCATGGAGGGCGATGCTCCTGCTTTACGGCTTCTTCGGTTTAAAGGACGTTTCTTTCTCCACCTCCAGTGTAAGGAAACAGTTGCATGCGAGTACTTCTCTGGGACTGATTTCCGGCTGGGAATAGCTGCAGCCTCAGCACCTGCTGCCCACATTGCTGGTGACTCGGAGGTTGGTCCTGCCTTGGCTCCAGCTGTACCACAGCACCGCGGGCGCAGTCCCCCGGCGCATCCGCTGTGCCGCAGGATGTGGTGAGGCTGTGACACAGCTCTCGGTAACCAAAGCTGCAGCCTCGTGCTCTGATGTCCCTCTGCGCCGCTCGTGGCTTCCTCTAACCTTGTCTGTGGTGCAGCCAAACACCTTAGAAGGACGCGTTTTCTGGGGGTTTCTTTTTTTGCCCCTCGCACAGTCATTTACGGGCTTGCAGCGGCTGTTTTAGCAGCAAAATCATGCGTGCAGTGACCTCACCCAGTGTGAATCTCACCAAACTGCACGAAAATGATATATTTTGGTTTCTCCCGACGCGTGTCATGGCCCACATTGCAGCAGGAGTTTGGAGATCTCTGCTCCTGCCATGAAGAGGTCACTGAGCCTGTTCCTGAAGAAAAGGCAGCGCTAGGAAACGCTGAGCCTGTTCTCAGTGGGATGAACTGAGGTGGTTTGGGGTTTCTTTCTTGCTGTAATTAAATAAGAAAACCAGAGGCCTTGGTTTAAATCTTTCTAATCTTTCTCCAGAGAAGAAACACTGATTAGCAGTGTGCGGCATCTGCCAGAGATGGGCTGAACTGTGGCAAAGGTGGTCTTGACCTTGAATTGGGGATTTTCTTGCCAACATTTGAGGATACTGTTTACCTATTTGAACAACACTACGGCTTAATATAAATCTTAAGTAGATTTCTGCTTGGTGAAAGGGGTTTGTTTGCTTTCTTGCTTATAAAATTGTGGAAACTCCTATTTGCCAGATTCAATAAGGGATCAGGTTTAGTTAATTTCTGTTACTTTATTTATTTCTCTGCCCAGCACATGTAAAAGAATATTTTTGGTACACACAGCTTTCTGCCTTGAGCTTTCATCAAAGAGCAGCCTGACACAAATTATACGAGGGATGGATGTGGGAACAAAGGAGGTATAATTAGCTGCAGATAAACAGAGCCGTGTTTCTCCTCGACATCTTTCCAGATCTTAACGTGTGTCTCACTCTCTTGGAGTTAATTCTTTTCCACAGACTGAAGAGGAAAGCGAGCTTTCCCTGGTCTTCCAGCCTTCAACTAGAAGTGAGCTCAGCTGAAGTGAAAAACATGTTTATGGTCTGTCTGCACCTGCAGAAGAGGCCATGGTTGCTCTCTGAGCTGCTGTTATTTCAGGATATTTCTCTTTCCGGGTGCCTGAGCTGCGACTTCTTCTTCTTCTACTTCTTCTTCTTCTTCTCATTCCCTTCCGCCCTTTCGTATCCTGTCTGTAGCCCTTCAGCAGCGTACACAGCTCCTGCTCACGCGGCTGCTTTGGAGCACGTCTGGCAACCGATCTGGACTTCATTGTGGGTTGTCATAACCTTTTCTTTCAAGTAGTTTTGTTTCCAAGGTGGGGGGGGGGGCTTTAGGTGAAAAATATGATCCAGGTGAAGCCAAATTGCAAGTTTTACCCTTCTTAATAATTAATTATTATAATTAATCTCCTGCAGAGGCTGCAGGGGGGATACACTGCTCCTCAATATCTTATTTGCCCCTTCCCATCGCATCTCTGCCCCCTGGGGCTGTGGGGCCGCTGCCCCCATCCCCACACTGAGCAAGGGTCCTTGCAGGGTCGACTTCCCTCAGCCCAGGGCACCTCTGACAGCCGAGCCGCTGTTCTGCTGTGATCTGAGCTGTGAGAGAAGGGGGATGGAAAAAAAAGCCGATGTTGGCTTCCCCCCCTTCTCAGATCTGGGGTGAGCGCCCAGATGGTATCCCAGATCTCTTCCTATGGGATTTAGGCAAGGTTTCCTGTTGAGAGAGCTGCTCCTAATCGCTGCCCTTCTGTGCTGCCTTGCAGATCAGGACCAGATGAGCGGAGGGAGGTTGCTGTGAAGATCAGAGTCGCCCCAGCCCTGCCCCAGGAAGTAGCCCAGCAGCGCTGCATCTCCGGCTGTCATCGCTACGGACCTGGAAAAGAAAGGAGAAGAGAAGAAAAATGTCCCATGCTTTAAAGCAAGTGTTCAATAAAGACAAAACCTTCCGGCCCAAGCGCAAGTTTGAGCCAGGGACTCAGCGGTTTGAGCTGCACAAGAAGGCTCAAGCCTCGCTCAACGCTGGCCTGGACTTGAAAGTTGCGGTCCAGCTGCCGCCAGGAGAGGAGCAGAACGACTGGGTGGCCGTGCACGTGGTGGACTTCTTCAACCGCATCAACCTGATCTACGGCACCATCAGTGACTATTGCACGGAGCAGTCCTGCCCCGTCATGTCGGGGGGGCCCAAGTATGAGTACCGGTGGCAGGATGAGCACAAGTACCGAAAACCCACGGCCCTGTCGGCTCCCCAGTACATGAACCTCCTGATGGACTGGATTGAGGTACAGATCAACAACGAGGACATCTTTCCCACTAATGTCGGTGAGTTCAGGTCCAGTAAGGTCTTTCATGCACCTGAGAAACTCCAGAGCTCTTCTGGAGCGCTAACACACCCAGAGCTGTCCCAGATCCCGTTTGGAGTCATGGATACCTCAAGGAAAGCCTGGGCAGTGAAAACAAGAGGCAGCTCTTAGGAAAGTCAGCCCCTGACGTGACTCCTGAGCAGCTCCCGCTGGACGTGGTCTCCTGACGCTGATTTCTAGCCTGTGTTCGACGCGCGTGCTCTGCGTCAGCCTGGTGATGGTGGCCACATTTCCCTAATTAACCTCTTTGTTATTACAGCCTGGCGTTAGCTGACTCTGCCCTTTCTGCCTCGGTGCTCCCTGGCATGCACTCGCTGTTTGTTGGAGTGGGGTGGGATGCTGACATGGGGAGGGAGGGGCAGCGTTTCATCTATCGCCAGGGTGATGGAAGTGAGAATTTGGCCTAAGCCACCGAAATCTGCATATCCAAAAGCAGCTTGTGCATGCTGGCTTTGGGACAAAGGTTGCTGGGGGTTTTGTTTATATTGTGTTGAATAAGGTGTGAGAATTCAGTATCTAAAGCCTTAGGTAAACAGGATTGATCCCATTCATTGCTCTCAGCTTCTGGGATGCAAAAGAGACAGCAGAGCTCCCTCCCTCCTGCCCCGGCGTTTGCCCCATGGACACTGATGGGACGCAGTCAGCCCCCATTTGGAACACGTCTGTGCCACACCAGCATGCACAGGGCTCCTCCACTTCTGCCAAAATGCTGCCTAATCCTGGTGTTGAGCGGGCAGAGGGGAGGAGCAGGGCCATAAAGAGCTCTGGGGAGTATAAGCAGGGTGTTTGTTCTCTTCTGGGAGGCGAGATAAGTTTCCGACAGCAGGAGGGTTGTGGTTTGTCTCTTTTTTTAATTGTTGTTTTCAGCTCAGCTTTTACCAGATTTCTCACCCTTAACGCTGACTGAAATGCTGCGGTTCACGCAGGGCACCAAAAGGGTTTCACTAATCCTTGCTGCAGAAGTGACCCTTGTGAACTTTAAACCGTAATATTCTACTGAGACGGCTGGTTGGCCGCACCGCTCCGCTGCAGGGCCCCGGCTAAACAAATCCCAAAGAGCTGAAGCCTTTAAAGAGGACCTTAACGTCCTTAATTTTTAACCAAAGAGCTAAAGACACATCAAAGTAAGATACAACTGTGGGGAGTTAACAGCAGTGAGTCTTTGTTTTGGGAAGCTGCTTGGTTGTAGCTAGACTTTTGCACTGTTTATATAAACGTACCAAATAGGGTTAGAAGAAAACTCTCTCAGACCGAAGCAGCTGGTGGGAATCTCTGAGACTGGTCCCTTGTTTTCAGTCGCTATCAGCGATTGATGGCACGCAGCACTCTGCCACTTGAGAAATCTGTGCCTTGAAAAATCTGACCCAAGCAGAAAGGAAAAAGGAGAGGGGAGCTGGAAATGACCAGGGGCAGAAGCCCTTTTGTCCCAACCGATCCATTTTATCCATTTGTTTTAGTCCCAAGGAACCAGCTTTAACCTGGCTGAAGGTTTCTCATGGTCGTGTCTTCCCTCCCAGGTACTCCCTTCCCCAAAAACTTCCTCCCGGTGGTGAAGAAGATCCTCTCCAGGCTTTTCCGGGTCTTTGTCCACGTCTACATCCACCATTTCGACAGGATCACCCAGATGGGCTCGGAAGCCCACGTCAACACCTGCTACAAGCACTTTTACTACTTCGTGAAAGAGTTCAATCTCATAGACACCAAGGAGCTGGAACCACTGGTGAGTGTCTGGGTGGGCTGCGGACGGTGCAGGAGGGGTGGGCTGGGGGTGGAGGTGTTGCAGAGGTCTCGGGTACCTCCCCAAAACTGGTTGTCTGGCGTGGCTTAACCCCAGCCAGCAACTACGCCCCACGCAGCCGCTCATTCACCCCGCAGTGTGGGAAAGAGAGTCAGAAGAGTAAAAGTGAGAAAACTCGTGGATTGTGACAGAGACAGTTCAATAAGTGAGGCAGAAGCCATGCATGCAAGCAAAGCGAAACAAGGAATTAATTCACTGTTGAATGAGCCTGTTCAGCCTTCCCCAGCGCAGCAGGGCTCCATCACACGGTTACTGGGGAGGACAAATGCCATCACTCCAAACGTCCCCCCTTCCTCCTTCTCCCAGTTTTATGTACTGAGCATGACATCCTCTGGTATGGAGTATCGCTGGGGTCAGCTGTCCAGCGCTGTCCCCTCCCAGCTTCTCGTGCACCCCCAGCCCGCTCACTGCTGCGGCGGGGTCCTGGTTTTGCTGGGAAAGCGGCATTTCTGCAAAAACTTCAGTACTTGATTGAATGGAAAACAGAGCTGATAAGACCCTTTGTTTTTGTTTTCGGCCGGCTCTGGTATGCAGATTGTTATTGTGATCAAGGTCTTTGGCAGTTTTCAGTTAACCAGGTGCAGAAGATGGGGGGAGCGAAAGCCAGGAGCTTTCAGAGCAGCTGACCGTGCTGGCCAGCAGGAATTATTCCATACCACAGACATCTCACTGCAAACTGGGGAGTTTTCTGGGGGCGCCCTCTCTTTGCTCAGTGGTCACCATCCCTGGAGGGCTTTGCCAGTCGCTCCATTCCTGAGGCCTCCGGCTCCCCTGCTTTGGCTGGAGCTGTTGGTTTGTGGTGTTACGTACCACGTTCACAAGGGGGATGGAGGATGTCACCCGGACCTCTGAGGTGGTGCTGGTGTTGCTAATTCCATAAGCAGCAGCACAGGCCTGCAGAGCCTTTGGGCAGTGGGAGGGTGCCTGGGTACGGGAGTGGTGGGGGAACACAGAACTGCCCAAACCAGAGCTCTTGGTGTCACCGCATGCCCAAGAAGGATATTTACCACTAAACAAAGGTGAGGTTTCTTCATCCACACCCTCACCTGGCAATCTGCATCTCCCTTCACGGTCCCTTGTCTTGTCTGTCCCTTTGGCAGAAGGAAATGACCTCCCGGATGTGCCACTGAGATGGTTCCTGCTCCCACCTCGGCGTCTCCTCTGAGGACTCCGAGTCCCGCTCCTGCATTGCAGACGTGATTCAAGGGGACAACAGAGACGTTTTGTTAAAGAAATCTATATATTTTTAATGAGTTTCAATGTAAAACTGTGATATTGCAGGAATATTTTTTTAAAGATGCTCTAGATAAACTAGGTTTTTTTATAGTAATTTCTATAAAAAAAAAGAAAATATTTTGGGCCAGTTGATGGAAATGCTTGCTCTTGGAGGAGGGAAGAGCCGCCCTGTGCTGGCTCTCCCCCATCGCCTCGCTGCACCAAGCGAGCTGAGCCAGATGCTTTGGGCAGAGCCGTGTGGTGATGCTGGTGCTGCCATGGAAGCGGTACTTGCCCCTGGGCACCCATTTCCCACCCGTGAAGGGAGGTTATGCAGGCGTTGGGGATGAAATGCTGGTGTGCGTGGATCTCCTGGGGTGCTGTGTGGTTCCAACACCTCTCCCACCGGCTGTGAGTCTGATTTTTGGACAGAGCTGCTCTTGCGCACACCTTCCACTTGGCATCCTGTCCCCAAGGCTTCGCCCTCCCTGCTTTCCCTCTGAAAAAGTTGGATTTGAGTTTCTTTTGTGGCTGGACCAGTGCTGCTGTTGCTGATGGGGTCTGTGCTGTGGTGTTGATCTGCTCTTGCCTCCTGCGCCAGTTGGAGCTGAGCTGAGCTGCTCCCTGGGCGTGCTGTCCCCAGGGGGACGAGATCCACGCTGGCAGCGTTGGGCCAAGAGCCCCGTGCCTGGTGGGAGTGAGCAGAGGGGAGGCGCTGGGACAGGTGTGGGGACGTCTCCTCCTCAAATGCCTTCACTTCCCCATCTCCTTGTGGTACGCTGGCCCTGCCGAGGACTGAGCCGCCTGCCCTCCAGCCTCGCTTACTGGCCACACGTGGACCATTTTCTGCTTCCCATTAGGGTACGGAGCCTTCTCCCCCATCCCGAGCAGTACAGTCACCAACTGCCGAGAGCTTTGCAGTGCCCCCAGGTAGGTAGGTCGGTCTACCTAGGAACTGGGGCACTGGGGGAGCAGGGTTTACAGTGAGAAAAGGCTTCTCTGAGCAGTGACCAAACTGTCCCGCTAACCACTTCTTCCTTACCAAGTTTTCCTGTGTCCTGGAATCTCTGTACATACGTGACTCTCTTTTCTTGTACTGTCGTTAGGACACGTGTACCAATACCACTATAGTTCTCTGAAATTGAACCAATAAATTATGTTGTATTTACATAGCACGCTGCCTTTGCTAAATGTCTCGTGATTGTGCGCTCATCAGAGGCGGCCCGTCAGCAAAGCAAACACGGTGTGTTTGGACTCCTTGAAGTGCGCTGCAGAGCGTTTCCTACTGTTGCCAGAAGCTCCTGGGTGTGTTCTTCCGCCACCACTGCCCCAAGGTTTGGTTCCCCCAGCTCTGGAGGTGCCTGGCTCGGGCTGCTCCAAGCCCCACGCTTGTTCCCAGGGCCATGGGGCAGAGCAGGCGGGTGCTGGTGTTGTCCTGGCTTGTCTCTGCAACTTCCCTGTACCCAAGGGCTGATTATCCCAGCAATCAAACCCGGATGGACCTGGGCAGGGGAGGGGAATTCAAGCTCAGGAGCTTGCTGAGGGGCTCTTTGCTTGCTGAGGGACCTCAGCCTTAGCAGCTCACGGACTGGACTGGCCAAAGCTCTATATTCAGGGTCCCCAGATTAAATTTCTGGCCAGGAGGGGAACAACGGGCCCCAGAGCTGAGACTCCCAGCTGCACCAGGCCTGGCCATGCCCCCTCCATGTGTGGTGGAGGTGCTGGGCCCTCCCAAGCCCCTCCAGCCCCTCTCCCGGTGTTTTGTGGGCTGGAACCACATCTCTTCTGGCCGGGTGCTGCAGCTGGAGCCCTCTGTGGAGCTGAGACACCCCCCCAGCCCCTGCTGTGCTCCAGGAGCAGGGCTGGATCCTGTGCACAAGCAGGGAGGGACACAAACCCCCAGGGACTGGGGCGCTGGGTTGTGGTGGGGCTGCGAGCAGGCGCTGAGCAGGGGCGGCTCAGCTCCCCTTTTCACCCACTTTCCCTTTCACACCGACTGTGGCTGATGCAAGCACCGTGTCTGGGGTGTGCAGCACCCATCCGGCCAGCACCCACTCCCTCTTTTCCCTTTTTGGGGGGAAAGATCTGGTGGCTTCCATGTGAGACCGGCTCAGCCAAGGGAGAAGGAGGAGGAGAAGCATCCTTAAGGGAGGAAGAGCTGTCGGGGCCCAGACGAGCTGCTGCAGCTGAGCCCGTGCTCTGCAGCGCAGGATGTTGCCCAGACAGGTTTGCAGAGCTGCGCTCGGCCTTTCTTTGCTCCTGCCTCCACCTTTTCCCCTCAGCACCCTGGCAGTGCCCGGCTTTCATCTCCTGCTGCAGGGCCTGAGGGGCGCTCACTCGTGAGCCACAGTAGCTGGGCTGCGGGCAAGGGGGCTACAGCGGGAGCTGGGCTCGGCCTGGCCAAGTGGGCTGAGCTGGATCTGGACCCATCGGGGATTTCATCGCTCATCTCTCCATGCTCGTCTCCTGCCTGCGGATTCCTCTGGCCCTCAAATAGCAAGGAACTCAGTTCCCATTAGGGTTTGTTTAAAATGGCACTGGTTTCTGAAGCTGGGGAGTGGGGGCAGTGATTGCAGGGACCCTCGGAAAGCAGACAAGGAGTAGGGAAGGATGTGGCCCTGAGCAGCTCTGCCATTGCGCTCAGCCCGCCCAGACATCAGCAGGGTTCTCTCGTCCCTGAGCAGGTGGCAGCAGCTTTCCTAGCGCTCCAAAATGTGCTTTTTTTTTCCTTTCCCCAGTTCAGCTGATGCCCCTGGGGTCAGATTTGCCACCCCAGCTCCGACCCCACATCTACCTCCTCCCAGGCAGGGGGAACAGGGCCGTGAGTTTGTCCTCCTCTTGTTTTGGGCTCTGGGGCTCCCTGGAGGAGGGTGACAGCCATTCCTGGGATGAAGGGACGGTCACCAGCGCAGCATGCGCTTCCCCATCCCTTGTGTGGCCTGGCCAGGCAGCAGCCCCCTGCGAACACCCCCTGCAAACCCGAGGGGCTGCTGGTGTGCAGCCGCCAGCACCCAGCATCTTCCAGTGCAAGGGTGCACAGGCCTCCACCACAGCTTCATGTGGTGATTTTGTGGAGTCACCACCCCAGGAGGTGTCCAAAAAACCTGTGGATGTGGCACTTGGGGACATGGTTTAGTGGGCACGGTGGGGTTGGGTTCACAGTTGGACTTGATGATCTTGGAGGGCTTTACCAACCTTAATAATTCTGTGATTCTGTGATTCAATGCCCTTTCCAAACAGGGAGGGAGCCGGGGTAATTTTTTTGGTGGTTTGGGACTTTTTCCGCTCTTTCTAGGAAGCCGTGTGGTGTGCCAGCCTGCACCCCCCTCACTGCAGTGACCCGGCCGCAGCGGTCGGGGCTGTTTCTGGGAGTTTTGGTCCTTCCCGGGGAATTTGGAGGATGCTCCTGGAGCTCCTGCCCCTTGGTTTTGGGGCTGCAGGGGGTCCCTCCCTGTCCACTGTCCTCACGGGTGCCTGTGCCGAGTTCTGCTGGGGGAAAGGGGTGCTCCCCACTAAGCTGGCATCTCCACTTGAAGACATTTTTAGGGTGAAGCCACCCTGGCACATGTTTGTACCCCCCTTGGGGCCACGCTGCCCACCTGCTCAGCTGTGGGTTAGGGCTGCTCCATAACCCTACTGCACCTCCTCCGGCTGGGGAAACTGAGGCATGGCACCACCTCTCCCACTCTGTACGTAGCCACCCCTCCTCAGTCTTTGGCCATCTCCAACCACCATCCCTGAGATGAGCTGGGCTGGGCAGTTCTGCTATGGGGGTCTCTGTGGAGAGGAGGGGGGGCAGCCCCGAAATGTGCGTGTGAAGCAGGAGCTGGAAAACCCCAGCAGGGTTTGCCCTGGTCCCTTCCCCACAGCAGCCAGGGAGCAAGGGACTGAGGCCACTGGCCACTGCCCCGGGACAAACACCACGGTGGTGGAGGGAGCAAGCACTGGGCTTGGGGGTCAGACCCACCTGGACACCGCAGGGGCTGCCCAAATTCCCCCAGTTGCATCGGGGTGAGAAGGGAGGCTGGGAGAGCTGCCAGCACACTTGTCCCTCATGTCTCCCGTGTCCCCTGTCCTGCCCCAGGAGCAGAACCAGCACGGGGTGAGTCAAACCCCCGGGTTTCTGCCTGCCAGGAAATTCCAGGGTTTTTTGCAAGATTTTTCACTTGAAATGGAGCCAGGGTTTCAAATCCTCCTGCTTCCAAGGGAGGCGACCTGGACTGGGGAAACTATGCAAGGAAAAAAGGGATTAATTTTCTTTTTTCCCTTCCAAACCAGAGCTGGGGGGAATGAAGCCCTGCACACCTCACAAGCAGCCGCCCTCCCACTGCTCTGACCCCAGTCCTGTGGGGAAACACATGGGCGTGCGTGGCGCTGTGGCACGGTGGCCGCAATGGCCTCTGGCCCAACTCGCACCAACAATAGCGGCCTTCCGGCGCGGCCCCGGCGCTTTCCTGTTTTCTCTGGCCAGTTTCGGTGCACAGGGCTCTGCCAATCCGTGGGGACCCCCATGGGGTATGTGTGTGTGCAGGTACATGTATGTATGTGTGAGCCCACAGACGACTGCATGGCTCCATGGCAATGCACCTGGAGAGGCTGCATGCGTGTGTGCACACGTGTGCCATCGCATGTGTGTGTGTGTGCGTGTGTGCGTGCAAAGGCCATGTGGGGCGATGCTCAGCTGCCTCCTGCTTCGCCCCCACACACACATGTGCTTTTGTGCCCACACAGCAAGCAAAGAGGGAGTGTGCAACGCGTGTGCAGAGAGCATGCAGTGAGCGTGCAGAGGGCATGCAGCAAGCATGCAGTAAGCATGCAGACATGCAGCAAGCGTGCAGACACGCAGCAAGCATGCAGCAAACACGCAGAGGTCATGCAAGGGCCGCAAGGCAAGCGAGCGAGCACAGAGCAGCAG